CCTTCCCCAGAAAAAAGACATCGGACTGGTCAGGACTTCCTCTGGGGATAAGACCCTGGAGAGGAGCTTTGTACATGTTCCGAATTTGCACATGGGGATTTGACCTCTATCTCCACTCCAAAGTTGTGGGTGTCCTATTGCTTCAAAAATAAATGAATAGGGGGAGATGTGAGGAGCCGCCTCGCTATCGCTATTGCCGTTAGAAGATGGCGCTGACATCCACTGTCAGTTGGAGTTAACTGTCGCTGTCAGTTGGAGTTAACTGTCGCTGTCAGTTGGAGTTAACTGTCGCTGTCAGTTGGAGTTAACTGTCGCTGTCAGTTGGAGTTAACTGTCGCTGTCAGTTGGAGTTAACTGCTTAAACTGTGCCTCTCCCGTGACGTCATCTGGGGTGATGGCAAACCACCAATCCCGGCTCTACACATCTCACTCGGAGCTCCTAGGCTTATATAAGGGGCTGGGTTTCTTAGCTTGGGGTCTCCCTCTAAGAAGCTGATCATCTATCTCTCAAGATGCATTAAAGCTTTACTGCAGAAGGATCCGAGTGTTCTAAATTCCATCAGTTCCCCTTTCCCTATACACATTTGCAAATCAGTCACTTCCAAGACACAACTACAGGGCTGCAAAGGGCAGCACTCCCGAGAGTCAGTCACCAGCTCTCCTTCAGAGAGAACTCAGCCCTCTCTAAGCCTCCCAGCCTCACCAACCACCACTAGGTTTTTCACATGGTGATATGTAGCGTCCGTACATTTTCTTGACCATTACATTTTAAAGGAAGTAGGGAAGGTATTGTGCATAGTTCACAGCAAATGTAGGCCAATCAGGAGCCTGAGCTTCAGGGGACAAGAAGGAAGCCACAAATAGACAAAGCACCTGTGATCCTAAAGTGGAGAGATCAGGGTCAAAATTATGTCTTTTGTCCCAGGCATAGAATCCCATCTTGGTGATATCAACCTATGGCTCTCAATGTGCTGACAAATGGTGAGGAGCTTAGAAAATGGATGGCCCACATCCTTCCAAGGAATTCTCCCATCTCCACCCTGACTCAGGACATGGTGTCCTCCTGAGGACACAGAGCAATGACAACCAGGACAGCGAAGGAAAAGCTTTAGTTGTTGTTATATTATTTTCCCCAGAAAGCAGAGCAGAATCAGGGGGTGTGGATTTGCATCCAGGCATTGCTCCCTTCCCCTGTGGGCTAAGAGAGAAACTGTCACCCTGGCCACACAGGTTGAGCAGTGGCCACCACCACTACCTAGACCCACTCAGTGAGCTGCAGAGAGAAGGGGCAGAAAGCAGGGAGCAGGCCCGGGGCAGGACCGCTACTCACCTATGGCCTCAGTGCAGCCCAAAGCTGTCCTTCCAGTGCGCAATGGCAGCAGGTGAGCCTTTTCCAGAGAGGAAACTGTGGTTCTCAGCGGTTAAAATGCTTGGGAAGGATTGAATGTCAAGAGTTTTTGATCACTGTGTGTTGCTTTATTCCACACATTCAGAGCCTGAGAATAATACCACTTGCGTCTTGTGTAGTCCTGCCTTTGTGTTAAGGGAACAATACATATAATAAAATCAATAAAGACACATGTGAAAGGAGAGAGAATGAAGACATCAGGAAAAAACACCAAAAGAAAACAGCAAAATTCCTCTAGGTACTTGTGGGCCATAGGTTGAGGAGACCAAATTCTGTGGCTCTTAAAAGCTGCACTTATAAAGGGAGTGGTTTTATAAGATGTCCTTTCTGGCAACTCCATGGTCCATCTCAAGCCACCTATCTCTACCTGGAGGAAACTGACACACAGAGGCTAAACTGCCATGCTCATAACAGAAAGTATCATGGGTATCTCTGCTGTCTCCCCTTTGGTTTCTGGGTTTTGTTCTGTTCCTCAGACCTCATCCTGTCCCTGTAAGTCTGATCATTGCAGTTCCTGGGAAAAGCCGGTAGCCTCCTTGGATCACAGTTTGAAGTTGCTCAGAAGGGGCTGTCACAAGCCCTAAGAGGAAAATGACCCCATAAAGGAACTTTCCGTTTCAATTGCCTTCTATTTATTTTTGAAGGAGGAAGTTTGCCAAAGATCTGTTTGCAGAAGTCTTGCTAAGGAAGCATAGAAGTTAGAGGAGCCAAGATGTCCTCCCAGGGGTGTGCGGTCATCCACAGAAACTGACTTAGAGATGTGTGTCTAACTACCTCTGTCTTTACTAACTGTTCAACACCAGGCTTCTGGAAAATTTTACATAAGTAACAACATATGTTTGAATATGGTATATCTTAAAAATGAGGTTTGTAAATTCCTAAGGTTGTAAAGGTTTACTCAGATTGTCTTTTCTAAACCAGGCTTCTAGAAAATTTTAAGTAAGGAACAACATACGTTTGATGAATAAGATATGTGTCATATTGCAATTACGATTGCTGTGATGAAACATCAGGACCACAAAAACTTGGGAAGAAAAGGGTTTGTCTGACTTACATTTCCCCATCACAATTCATCATTACACGAAGTCAGGACAGGATCTCAAGCACAGCAGGAACCTGGAGGCGGGAGCTGATGCAGAGGCCATGGAGGGAGCTGCTTACGGCTTGTTCCTCACAGTTTACTCAACCTGCTGTCTTATAGAACCCAGGGCCACCAGCCCAGGGATGGCCACACCCACAATGGCTGGGCCCTCCAGCATCAACCACTGATTAAGCAACTGCCCCACAGTAGGATCTTATGGATGCGTTTTCTCAACTGAGGTTCCCGCCTTTCAGACAACTCCAGCTTGTGTCAAGTTGACCTGAGACTAGCCAGCACAGTGTGTTTAATAATTAAGGTTTATAGTTTCCTAGGGTCTGCTCATGTTAACAGTAACTGACTTCTTTGTCTCTGCTAACTTTGTTAATATTTGGATATCATTTGGAAAACTGAGTCAAGAAACCGTGACAGTCTGTAATGGTGCACTATGAAAGATCAAAACAGTAAGAGATCTGCTGAACGTGACATCTAAAGTGTTTAATGCAAAAGCTTCCCATGGTAGACAAAACTGCCAGCTCCTAAATGCAACCCTGAGGTCCCCAGACAAGGTAATGGGGCACAGATGCCTCCACCTGTGACAATGCTGACCACTGGACAAAGACCCCACGCCCTTGCCTAACCCCAGGGCCCTGCTCAAACTGTGGGCACTGTTGAGTTGACTGCTCTATCCTTGCCAGGGTGGGTCAGTTTTCCCAAGTACCTCCTCCACAGGAAAATCTCTGAGATCTTCTGGGTCTGGTAGCCAAAAGCTAATGCTGCCTTGTGTGGTGGGCAACAATTTAACGCTGTTCTGTGTGACAGCCAGAGGACCAATGCCCTTTGTCTCCCCAACCTGCCCCATGAAGCCATTGAGACTGTGAGAGCCTAGGGTAATGGTCCACCACAGAAGCCTAGGTTAACTAAGTGTCCAGGTAGCCATAGGTCTCTGTCATTTTAAATGATACGGAAGCTGTGTGGATTATGCTTCCTGCTGGAATTCACCCTTCTCAGATCTCTGAGGGTGTTGGCAGTTAACCGTAGCTTTGACAGTTTAACGGTCACACTCAACCCTCTAAGGCTGCAGTTACCCACTCAGTTCATTCCAAATGTAAAATCAGGCTTCCCTTTTCCAGAGCCATTTATTAGGTCTGCTTAGAAAGGCAGGCAGGTACAGTTCACCTTGCTGACAGACTTCACAGTGAAAGAGATAGACTCACAAACCAGGTTTCAATGTAACTTTTCGCTATTTCCTTTATTTAAGGAACTTTCTTCACAATGACGGCTCTGGGGAATCAGCCACCCATGTCTCATGGTAAGTGACAGGATGAAAAGAAAAGGTTTGAAGTTTATGTAACTTGTGAGGGCCTAAGAAAGAAATGCAAGTTGTCAAGGTCAAAGGAAGTGATTCAAGTTGTGTAAAACCTGAGAACTGTTTCAAGTTTCTCTCCATCTCTATGCTATAGTAAGACTTGTAAAGTTCAGAGTTTTAACATTAATCAATGCAGCTCTGATAGGAGATTGATCTAGCCCAGGTAAAGCACTGCTACTGTTATCCTAGTCACAAGCTCACACATTGCAATTCCCCTGGTTGTCTTCTAAGTATAGACTTAAAAGTGCTTCTCAATTGTGCTAAAAACACCACTGTTGAATCTATGTATTCAACCCTCTGGATATGTAGAAAAAGTGTTCCTGCTTTTAACTCAGAATAATATTTTTAGATTCCCAAGTTTTTTATGACTCAAAGGCGTAATTCTACTGCTTTTTTCTACAGTGAAGATTTCAGTACAGATTTCAAACAGTGGTAATGGTAATTAATATACATAACACTTTTTATCTCTTTTTATGAACTAAAAAAAATCTTGTAAGCTTCAGGGAGTTGTGAGACTGGGATTCATCTCTAACAGTGGCCTGTTAAACTGACCCCAGATAAGCACTCCTGTCAATCAACAACCTAAGTTTCCCCACTTGCCTATTCTCGGGGGTGGGGGTGGGATTTCTCTCTTTCCCCTGGTCTTGCAACTCCCTCTGTTCCCTACCACTGCCAGGACCATGGCCCTGGAAGTTTCAAATGTACACCCAAAATTAAAAAAGAAATCTTCCCATAAGCTGCTTAACTCTACCTTCTGTCCCTAGTCTGTATCTGTCCTAGTGGATTTCCCATCAACGACAGATTGCAAACGCTGCCATGTGGCAGCCTCAGGTGTTCCTTCAGAACCCACACGCCAGATTCCCCCCAGGTGAACCTGCACAGCCAGAGAAACAGATGTTTCCCGCCTGGGCCCCTCTCTCCCTTCCTGGCTTTGACCAGCATCCCAGCCTTCCTGGGCCCCTGACAAAGATGTCACAATTTCAGCTCAGAAGCAGTTACAAAGAGATTACATCACCCCTCATCATCAACAAAAGGCTGGAATGACTGATCCCAAGGAAACCCTGGACAAGTCTCATTCAGTACCTGTGGTTCCTCCTAGTACTTCTCACCCCTGACCTCTACCCCAAACATCTCCAGACTGGGGGCTGGGCTTCCCTTCCCCATCTTCTGTTTTAGATAACTTAGCATTTTCACTCCTGGCCTCTTGGTTCCTGGCTGACTCTCTCTGGGCTCTTGATCGGCTTGCCTCCCCTTCCTCTCTCCACCCTCATGGCCCAGTCTAGGCTGCTGTCCATGTCCAGTGTGTCCTCTCAGCTGCCTCTGGCTGTCCTCATCCTCATATCTGCAATAAAATCTTCTCCTCAACCACACCTAGCAGGGGTCACGTCCCCATTTTCATTCAGGAGGCAAGCATTTCTGCCCACTGAGCCTTTTCCCTAGCCCCTTTTGTTTAATTTTCCTCAAACCTTTGCTTCCTTGGTGACTTTCTTATCCAGGATTTGAAATGATGTGTTGATTGTGTTCATCTGTCTAGATGCACACTCTGTGTGGTGACTGATCATTAACAAAGCAGGCTTTGGAAGTCTCTGCCTGTCATTTCAGTGATTTCTGGGTTTGGTTGTTGAAAAGTTCTCAGCATCTGGGGGAGGTACACCTTCATGCTCGTTTAGATCACTTTATTTTACATCCACAGTCAGTGTGTCTGCTGCGATGAGGATTCCTCCGCTCCTATGACAACCTCTGCTTAGTGGGTCATCTGTTGTCTTTTGAGTTCTCATTTTTCATGACTTCCCAAAGGACAGAAAGGAGACTGCAGCAACAAGAACTCAGGTATGTGAATCTGTACTAAGATAACTCTCAGGCTGTCATAGCAAACAGACCAGTACCAAACTTTGGATCCCAAGGGTTCCCCCATCCCGCTGAACATATACAACTTTCTGAAAAAAGCAAAAACAAGGAAAACAACGTGGACAAACAAGGCTGAAGACTACTAGTATCAAAGTATGCCCGTGGTATTACATTGAATCTGGAAGTTTACATTTAGGGAGGTGGCTGCCACCTGGCTCACACTGGTGCGAGTCATTAGGAACCACGTGCAAAGTAAGACTTCTCACATCTGGACTGTAACTAAGGTTTCCAAGAGAAAGAAGAGATGGAATGTTGCATCTTAGACACTTGTGCTGGCTTGATGTTTGTGTTTTACTGAAGCTTCACACTCATGTGAGACCTAAAGAAACGTATCATAACTTTTGTGCTCACCACATCACAACCATCCTCTTAGGAATAGCCTCTCTTAACCCCTCTCAGGTGTCCCCTTGCCTGAGTCCTTGCAAATGGAGAAGGATGCTGAAGATGATGGCCAGGGTCCAAGCTGGGGATATTGGAGCAGCTGAGGCTGCCAGAGCTCAGCAAGCAGCTCAGGGAGCCATCAGGGGTCTTGGGGTAGCATCCAACACAGGCACCCTGCAGACGCTCACAGCCGGAAGCCTAAAGTCAGCAGGTGGGGCACAGATGCCCTGGAGGCTGGAGCCGAGGGCGGCATGGAACTGACCCGGCTGGGCTGCTGGTTGTGGCCATGAAGCTGTGGGTCTGGATGGAAAGCAGCGGGATGACGCTGCTTATCTCTCAGGCAAAGGCAAAGGTGTTGTCCCAGGAAGCTGTCTAGTAGGCAGGTCACCTGTCTCGGGGGGGGGGGGGGGTGCCAGGGTCCTCTGTGCTCCCAGGGAGGTAGAGCAGAAGAGGTCCAGCTTGCATTTGTGCTGAGGGCATGGGTGCATTGGAGGCAGGGCAGCAGGAAGAGGGAGATGACGAACAGGACGAGGCATTGGAGCAAGAAGAAACAGGCATGGGCAATATGGCGCTGTCTAGCAGCAGCTGGTGGTGGCCCTAAGGGGATCTTGAGAAACTGAGGCTGTGATGCAGCTCGGGCCAAGGCTCTCAGGCTCAAAGGTGCTGTGGTTTCCGAGTTAAAAAACCTCTCAAGTTCCCGAAGACCAGACCCTCAACCATCCCTTGTGGCTTGGGCATCCTTTTGTCCAAGTTGTGGGTGAAAGGGCAGTGAGGGCCTGGGGGGCAGAAGGCAGTGGTGTTCAAGGTGAGAAGCAGCTCTGGCTTGCACTCGGGGTGAGGCTGTCCAGCTCGTGGAAGCCATGCGGGAGCTGACACTTCTTACTTGCAAGTGAGGCTCTCCTAGAAGGTCAGCACAGCTTGGTTTGCAGGAGGAGCAGACAGAGAGGCGTGGCCTGACTCAGTCCGAGGCTAATAACGGGCAAGGGACAGGGAGGGATGCAATGATTGCTTGCAGGGCCTGGGAGGTGGGAGGAGGCAGCTGCTTGGAGAGGAGGGCAGACAGGAAGCAAGGACACAGCTTTTTGACTTCCATGCCCGCACTTCCCCCATCCTGCTCGGGCAAACCTGGACTTGAGGAACTGTAGTTTTCCTATATTAAACACCTGGCTCTCTTCATTTCAACCATAATAGCTCTAGAAATCATTATCACAAACATCCTTATTCCTGTATTATTATAAATGTCCTTATTTGTGTTAAAAGTACGTTCAAGTGACTGGACACGTGACTCAGTAGTTAAGAGCACTGGCTGTGCTTCTAATGGGCCACTGTGACTCTCAGCACCCACATAACACCTCACCACCATCAGAAACTCCAGCTCAGGGAACCCTTCACCATCTGACGTCTATGGGTACCACACGCACAAAACACGCCGCAAATACATAATAAACAAGAAAATGTACAAGAGAAATCAGTGATTCCTTAGAAAGGATGGGGTGAAGGCCATTCCTTGAAGCATAACTTGGTCAGATACAGGTTTCCTGTTGGAGAAAGGTAGCACTTGGAGCAGGTAGGTCACTTCCTCTGGCTGCTGTGCTGTCCCCTGTCCCGTGGATCTTGTCTGTGGCAGTCCTTGCAGGCATGAAGGTGAGGAGAAATATAAATCAGTTCCCAAGCTTTCACAAGTTGATAAAAACTAGTAAAGTGAAACTTGAAAACAAACTAAAATAAGCTATTTAAACACCAAAGAGCAGAGGAAACCAAGGCAAGCTGTGAAAGAAGCTGCGTCCATCCCATTGAAGGACACAAAGAGCAAACGACCAGTTAAAGGGACAGAGAGGGAAGAGGAGGAGGAAGACGGAGCCCTTCCTTTAGATACGAGGGATGCGGTGACATTCAGCTGCTGAAAGATTTGGGACAAAGCATCTTTTCTCACAAGAGATCTTTCTTCTGGTGAGCCAGTTCATATCAAGAAACAAAAGCATGAGGGTTGATTGGTAAATATGAAAAATGTCAAGAACTCTGCAGCCTTGGCATCTGCGGTACTCTCAGATCCAGAAGGCAATATCGAAAAACTGGAAGAGATGTTCTCCATGCTGATGGAACAGGACCCTGGTGTGGCTGTCACTGTCGGGAAGGTCGTGATAATTTCACTGATGGAGCTATTTAAGGACATCGCTCCCTCATATAAAATGCGGCCCCTAACTGAAGCGGAAAAAAAATCTTCCAAGATTCATAAAGAAACCCAGAAGTTAAGAGAACTCGAAGAAGGCCTGCTTAGCCAATACAAATTTTACTTGGAAATCTGGAGCAAATGAAGTCTGGAAGCCAAGGAAGCCGAAGAAGAGCAACGCGGTGTCCTCGACGCCTACCAAGGGTTGGCCGAGGCGGCTGTGGAGAGCGCATGCGCTGCTGGTGGTCCTGCCCCGGGTGTAACTGCACAGCATCGTCATTGTCCTGATTGTCCCCTTGATGAACGAGGGGCCAAAGTTGGTTTCTGAAAAGTGTTGGGAAGCAGTAAAGAAACTCTTTAAACAAGATAAATTAGGCCAAGCTTCTCTTGGTGTAATTAATTTCTGGTTTTGTAAAGAGCAGAAATTATGAAGTTAGACCAGGGATGTTAAAAACATTTTATGCTTGAGAGAGCACGGAGAGAAAGCTGAAAACGTGCACAGAGACTCTGAATATTGTGTTTGTGACCTGCTTCAGAATACTGAAGAAGGCGCAGAGGCCACCTCTTCTGCCAGCAGTTCCAAAGGGTCTTGCCAAGTCTGCACATCTTATAAATGTGGAGTTTTTTGATGATTTATTAGCGGTTCTTCATACCCTCATTGAGTCTGGTGACCTGAGTTATCAAGAAAGTCTTCACTGTGTTCAAATTGCTTTTAATATTCTTTCTGGACAAGGTGATGTTCTAAATATTGACCCAGTCAAATTCTATACACATTTCTACAAAACATTGCTTAAATTACACTCAGGTGCTACCAACGATGGCGCTGAGATTGCACTCCACTGCCTGACGTCATGCTAGCTCAGCGCAGAAAGCAGGTTTCTCGCCAGCGAGCGCTGGCCTTCATCAAGCGCCTTTGTACGCTTGCTCTGCAGGTTCTTCCAAATTCAACATTGGCCTTTTAGCCACTACCAGAATATTGACGCACACGTTCCCCAGAACAGATCTGTTGCTTAAAAACAAATCTCAGGGCAGTGGGGTGGTCCTGCCTTAGTTGGAGGAGACAGAGGACTCTAGCGCCCAGAACACCGCGCTGTGGGAGCTGCATGCACTGTGAAGACATTTCCATCCTGTTGTGCAAACATTTGCAGCTCACCTAGTCGCTGGGGCACCGTCTGAAGGCGTCGAGGCCCTCAAGCCTGAGCTGAGCCGAAGATCTGCAGTTGAACTTTTTGAGGCTTACAGCATGGCAGCAATGACATTCAACCCTTTCGTTGAACCTTCAAACTCCAAAAGGATAAATTTTTGCAAGGAGACTCACTTTTGAATGAAGATTTAAATCAACTAATCGAAAGATATTGCAATGAAGTTACTACTGAGATACCTGGATTTCACCAAGTTTTTGAAAGCCTCTGAACAGTAGTACAGAGGTGGAGTCAGTGGACTGTTCTGTCTGTCTGTCTGTCTCTCTCGCTGTCTTTCTGTCTCTTTGTCTCTCTCTGTCTCTCTCTGTCTCTGTCTCTCTCTCTGTCTCTCTGTCTCTGTCTCTCTCTGTCTCTCTCTCTGTCTCTCGTCTCTGTCTCTGTCTCTCTGTCTCTCTCTCTGTCTCTGTCTCTCTCTGTCTCTGTCTCTCTGTCTCTCTCTGTCTTTGTCTCTCTCTCAGTGTGTGTGTGTAGAGATACAGATACAGGAGGGCTTTTTCTTTGTGTACAAGGAAAACTTCCTAAGGACGACCAAAGGAGGACTGAAGCAGAGACACAGAAGACACTGCTATTGATTGGCTTTTCTTGGCTTGCTTGACTTGCTTTCTTATGTAGCCCAGGCCAACTCACCCAGGAAGTGCACTCTCCACTGTGGGCTGGCCCTTCCACACCAGTCATTGATGCTATAAATGCTCTACAGACATGCCCACAGGAAAGTCTGATGGAGGTCATTCTTCAGTTGAGGTCCCCTCTGCACAGGTCACTTTAGTGCATGTGGAGTTGACAAAAACTAAGCAAGACGATTTTTAAGTACTCTTTATAACTAAATAAACATTGTTATTGCAGCACCATAAATAAAGGCAAATACATAGACTTTGTAAAGATTTTTTAATAAATAGCTTAATATTAGACTCTTGTTCATTGGCTTTTGTTGAATGACGCATGTAAAGAATGAGCAAATCTCACCTTTAGAAGGAATGAGTATTCTGGGGAGTCGGGGAGCACTCAGGAGACAGAGGCAGACAGATCTTTGTGAGTTCCAAGCCAGTCTGCTTTAGAAGGAATGAGTATTCTGGGGAGTTGGGGAGCACTCAGGAGACAGAGGCAGACAGATCTTTGTGAGTTCAAAGCCAGTCTGCTTTAAAGAGTGAGTTTCAGGACAGCCAGGACTGTTACACCAAGAGTCCCTGTCTCAAAAAAGCAAACCAAAAAACAAAGCAAACAAACAAAAAAACCAAGAAGGATGAATGAGTGATCTTATGATTAGTTTCAAAGAAAGTTTGAATGAGATTCTAGACTTTTTGAATTTGTGTTTATTTTTTTTACATGAGAGTGATGGGGGAAATTGTGTTGTGAAGACGTTGGTTCTCGACAAACTAGTAAAGTGTTTTTCTTTTAAATTCTTACAGATAAAAACTGCATATACCTATAGAGTTATAAAGCATCATTTTATATAATAGCATTGTCATATTGAAGAGATGTCTTATATAGTGTGTACATAAATGTTTTCTGCTATTACTAGTTGAATAAAATAGCTTTATTTTCTCCTGTAAAAAAATAAATTGGTCAGATAGAGAAAATGGTGGTTGAGGTTAGGGACTTGGTCATTCATCATTTTTAACCAACAGTTGTCCTAGGTTTTGGTTTGAAAGAAAAAAGCACCCCCCCAAGGAGTGGCACTATTAGGAGGTATGGCATGTTGCAGGGGGTGTTTCATAGTTGGGGTGGGCTGTGAGGTCTCTTTTGCTCAAGCTTCCCTCATTGTGTGTGTCAGTTAACTTCCTGTTGTCTGAGAGATGGAGGACTGTCAGATCCTGCAATGCAAAGTCTGCCAGCCTGCCGTCCAGGTCCCACCACTGTGATAATGGACTGAATCTCTGAGGTTGTAAGCAAGGCCCTCAATGAAATGTTTTCCATGTACCTGTGGCTGTGCTCTCTTCACAGCAATAGTAACCCTCACTAAGACAGCCTATGTTTTGGTCTTTGAGAGCAATGGCCTAGAATGACTGGTCAGATGTGGCAGAGTAGCTCTTGAAAACACCTCCAGAACCTTTCAAACAGGTGGCCCTTATTGCCGTGATCCCATTCACTATGTTGTCTTGACAGATGGGCTTCTCAATCTTAAGGGGTGGTTTTATAAAAGTGAGTTATAGAATGAGTCTCTAACTCTGCACTAAGGCAAACCTCCATCTGTCACATGTAATAAGACCTTTCCTTCTTTATTATTTTTTAAATTTTTTTGGTTTTTACAAGACAGGGTTTCTCTGTATTGTTTTGGAGGCTATCGGTCCAGCCTGGCCTCGAACTCACAGAGACCCACCTGCCTCTGCCTCCTGAGTGCTGGGATTAAAGGCGTGCGCCACCACTGCCCGGCATCCTTTCCTTCTTTAAATAATGTCCCTGTCCTCAGCATAAGTATCTAGGAACAGCTGGGTGGCTCAGTTTTTTCCCTTTAAAATGAAATGATAATTATGAGCATAAATCTTCTAGGAGAAAGATGCGTTGATTTGGGAGCCACCTGATACATCCCATTCCCTGGTACCCTCTAACCTCAAGTCAGCTGACATATAACCACTGCTTATTCTGTGTGTACCCAGGGTCTACTTCTCTTCGTTTTACTCCAGCATGGAGCCTGGCATCCACAGGTCATGGGTTTTCTTATTGCAGGTGAGCTTCTCCAGAGGTCTCTAAGAACCAGACCTGCTCCCGGCTTCCTCTTCTGCTGATGGCCCAGAAGAACAAGCTTAGGATCATTATGGGAAATTCTAGATGTTTGAGTTTAGTCCTGGACAAGAAGCAATGGGACTGAGACTATGCCCAAACACAAAAACGTGGGACTATAGGAGCTTCCCAATAAGAAAACGCCAGCAGTTCCTTGGGAAAAGACATCTGCTTTCCCTTGTCATTTGGTACTTTTGTTTTCAGGGATTACAGACTCTACGTAGTCTCTCTGACCTCCATTATTCAGACAGGCAGATTCTCCCTCCCTGGAATGCCTTCTACACAGGGCTATTGCAGCTTTAGGAAGGTTGAAAACCACTTGTTGATATGCAGATTCCTTGGCTATGGCCTAGACCCTCAAGGTAGACTCACTAGGATAATAAGCCTGCTTCAAAGATTCCAATGAGCCAGGACCCCATGAAGACTCTCCAGGAAGTGTCAAAGATGCTTATGACTGTATTTCCACTAGGATCTTTTCCCCTGACTTTACATAAGGCTTTCACATTCTGAGGCCAAGCAATTGTCTCCAAGGCCTTGTGTCTGCTGAATGGTGAGGAAGGGATTTCCTGCTGTGGGAAATTCAGGCTGGTCTACTAAACAGAAGAGACTTTCAGGTCCATAACTGATCATCTTCTGAGAACCAGGACTTCAGAGCACACAGAGCATGCCTGGCCATGTTTCCACAGATTGCTCTGTCAGCTAGCTGTCTCACTATTGTGAAGGCAGGCTCTTCTTCATTTTTATTTAAATTATTGGTTCAGAAAGGGTCTTATGAAGCCCAGGCTTTTTTTCCCAAGACTCTGGGTCCTCTTGCCACTACTTCCCTGGTGATGGGGTCATTGGCATGTCAACACACCACCTTGTGTAGTGTCCCATCTTTATTGGATGTTCCCTTCCTATCTGCTGACACTTTAGGAACCTTCCATAATTTTCATCTGAATGAACCTATTATAGGAGGATAAAGACAGACTTATTAGCATATCCAGTAATCAAACAGAATGTAGTTAAGCAGTGAATGGTGGTGGAATATTTCAGAGCCAGCAGAGTAGAAAGGGGGAAAGACATTGCCTCACCTCTACTGTCACACTGTTGTCAATATTTCTGTCCTCTGTGTCTCTGTCCATTCAGAAAACGGGTATGTCTACTGACATGCACAGATCCAAGTCTTCCTCCTTTCTCTGTGAGCAATACATCTTCCAGAGTCTCCAAAGTCTATGCTGAGGACCCATGTGGAAGTAAGGCATGGTTAGACCCAGGTTCTTTCAGAAAATGGAAAGATGGTCAAGGAGGCCCATGTCACATGGCTGTAATTGGTAGTGTCGAGTGATGAAGTCTCAGTTAGTTTCCAGTTGGCTACAGGTATGACTTATTTGTCAGAGTCAGTTCAGAAAGAGAAGGTGACCAAAGTCACAGACAATAGCTGAAGTCTACCCACTCCCTCTCCGAATTTAGGGCTCTTAAAGCTTTGCTTGGACAGTAACAGACTGGAACCCACTGGGATACTTCCTTAACACATTAACTCCAGACTATCAGTCTGAGAAGTCACATCGATTCCAGGGGAACTTCACAAGAATAAAGCCCTCATCTGGAATGAACCCTTCCTCACTACCCTCTGAGAAATACTATAGTAAAGAGTATCATTAACCACGCCCCTCCCTTCCTAGTCTTGCACAGACATGCTCTCCATCAGAGGCAGGTAGCTTCTGCTGCAGGCTCCACATACCCATGCTAGTCTGCAGCTTCCTATTAACACTGCCTAGCTGGTGCATCAACAGGGATTTCTTAGCAAACCTACATTCCCAGGAGTGTCTTCTCAATTCTGCATTTCATCTATGGATGTAACCTGCATTGTCATCTAGATGAGAGATGACATGGCTGCTTCAACCTTATACTAAGAGATGGGCCTAACTGAATGGTCCTGAACCCAGAGACACTCTGCTTGAATGTCTGGCATCCCAGGACAACCTCCCTTGCCTACCTCATGGACCTGTCTCTAAAATTCCCCCAGAAACATCCCTGTTCCCTTATCCACTACCTTCTTCTGGTCTCTGTGGAAACTGCAGGCTTGTGGTACATAGATTGCAGGCAAATAACCAGTAGACACAAACATAAGTAAACGAATCTGAAAAAAAAAAAGATTTGTGTGACATATGAAGTCCAGGCGACAGCACCTTAAAAGACTCTATGTCTCAATGTGCTTTAGAGGGTTTTTTCCTGTTATCATTATCACTGGTCCTATATTTCAAGGAAAGCAGAAGCAGATACTTGTGGGTTTCCTTATTTCTTTTATACATCCATAATGAAGGTTCTCATTTCCTGAGATTCATTAGAAAACACACGTATATTTCTTAGAAATAGTATATGCATGATCATGTCATGAACATGCGTGTATTTAGACTCCATTTCTTTCGAGTAGCAAACACATGATGTCAGGTGTGGTATATGATCTTTTTGAATCATTTAGTGGATATTCATGGATTAGGCCATGCCATCCACACAGAGACACAACCCCTTTTGTAGCTCTGTCTGTCTGGGAACTTATAATGTAGCCAAAGTCACCGGGGAGCTGCAGAGATCTATCTCTGTCTGTTGAATTTTGCAGTTACAGGAGTGTGATACCACGCTTGATTAAAAGCCTAGTTTAAGAATGAAGAGTTTGAATTTTTTTTTTTTTTTGGTTTTACGAGACAGGGTTTCTCTGTATTGTTTTGGAGGCTGTCGGTCCAGCCTGGCCTCGAACTCACAGAGATCCGCCTGCCTCTGCCTCCCAAGTGCTAGGATTAAAGGCGTGCGCCACCACCGCCCGGCTTGAGTTTGAATTCTTATTTATGAAAATATAGTCATTTGACTCAATAGGGGCTTGAACAGGACATCTGATACACAAAGCATATAGTCTTAGCAGAATATCAAATATGAAACAAGAACAAAAGATAGGACCAAAAAATAACAAAACTTCCAAGCAAAACAGAGTTTAAATCAAATAAATTTCAAACCAAAAGCCCAAACAAGAAAGTTAAGCTAAGGAGTATTTTCAACAGTCAGATTTAGCTGCACTGACTATACTCTGTGGCCACCTTTGGACGCATAATACAAAGGCAGCCACTGATTGCACTAAGGTTTTCATGACAAGTATAGCCAGGGTCCTTTGGGGCTTTGAAGGTCAAGCAGTCACCAAGGATGATCCTATAACATGTTGGCCACTATATTATTCTTTTCATCACCATATGTCTAAGTTCCTACTCTAGACCAAAGAAGGAAATGGGCAGCACCTGCTGTCCAAATACATAAAAGGCCACTCTGACATCCTCTCTCAATCTTTTCTCAGGACAGCTCTCTTCCATCAAGGCAGTGAGACAGGAGAATCTGCAGTCGATTTCACAATGGAAGAACAAATGATGAGAACCAGCGGGGGACAGTTGTCATCTCTGTAGAGCATTGACCTCAGCATCCCAGGTACATGACATGCAGTAGCTTCAGCACTGGACAGGATGAGAATTTGATGTCTGGATGGCAGCATGACATCAATACAGTCTCCCTTGACAGATTTCCCTTCAAATGTGAAGGGCTGAGGACTCATCAGCTGGCAAATGTTCTCAGTGACAAACATTCAGAGTAATTATGAGCGGATACACACCCTCACTCCAAGTTGTTGAGGCCCACTTGCTGGTGGATGTCTGGGTCCTGAGTAATTCTTGGCAATATTTTTGGTACCTTGATATACACCCTCACTCCAAGTTGTTGAGGCCCACTTGCTGGTGGATGTCTGGGTCCTGAGTAATTCTTGGCAATATTTTTGGTACCTTGAGCTTCTTTCTGATGTTTTTTTTACTCTACAGTGAGCCAACAGACACATCATTAAGATTAGGGATAAAACAGCTGCAGGGAGGTTCATATTTCCCTCAATGCTGAGTTTACAGTAAGAAGGACATGTCTTCTTCTGAGGAGGTCTTGTTTCTCTATTGGAGAATGTTGAGGTTTCTGATTGTCTGTGGCTTCCTTAGGCCTCCTCAGTTCCCTGAAAGCGTGCTCTGAGAGAAAGAGAGGCAATCAGATCGAAAAGCAGCCTTTTTTCTGTCAATGACTAGACAAAATCAGGGCCCATTCACACATAGGAAACCACAGTCAAGAAAGAAAATCCACCCCTCAAATGCCATGGTTTCTGGAAATGTCAACAATGGAGGGTCACTCGCCTGTGACATTTAGTGCCCTGCTGCAGCATCTGGGTCTGCAGGAGGCTCTCATTGTGCCCTGAAGCTTGCTCCAGCTTATGCTGCAGTTTTTCAGATCTGGAGGAGGAAGGAAGACAGAGCACAATCCTACTGGGGTCCTGGCATGGCAACTGTCAAGCTCTGACATCACAATTGTGCCTGACAGTCAACATTGATCTTTTGACAAAAGTCATTGTATCCCGAAGAAAAAAGGGCCACAGAGTAGTTTGCCCTTGAATTTTTGTCAGACTTTAACAAGTGTCACAAGTTGATCCGAGTACTGTATCTATGTGCTCTTTGAGAAAGAACAGAACATTCTCCGGGAGTCTGGCGACAACAGTATGACAAAAGGAATAGCATATGAAAACCATGGACAACAGCACAGGACAACAGCACAGGGGAGAAATACAGAATGCTCATGGTGAATTACACATGGACCACCTCATTTTATAGATAGATATAATACAACATTGTAGCTCATGCCTTTTGCAGCAAAGGAACTTTATTCCAGGCAATATGCAAAATGGAGCCTATCATGCTGGAGCAACATTTCCTCAGATGTGTGCTGGAGAACACAGGCTCTTCACGGGGTCTTTTAGTTAAGAAAAACAGCCTTGTTTTCCTTAGGATGAAAGCTGGGAATCTACACCATGGTTCTCTACAAGAGTCTGTTACACAACAGCCTGTGAAAGTTCTGAACACAATACTACAGCAGAAACACCTGTCTGGGCTCATCTGGCAATGACTAAACTTACTATATCTATAGAACACTTTAGTCAAACAAAGAAGACAGCCAATGTTATATCAAAGGATGACCAAGAGTAGGACTCTCATCACCACAGCTTATGTCCCTCAATGAAAATGTAATTTTATTCAGGCATTGTAACAGACACCTTTATTTAAGGCAGAAGAAGGCAGAGCTCTGTGAGTTCAAGGAAAGTCCTCTCAGAACATACCAGAGAACTCAGAAGGGAGCATGGGGGACACACTTCTACATCTACCTGAATACCAAACATATTATTTCCTGGAGGGAAGTTTTTGTTGATTGGATCAGCACAACTCGGGAGTGTTATTTCTTGTCTATAGGCAGATCCCACAAAGGGCAGAGATCCAAGATAGAAGAGATCTACCTGAATCCAACTCCCAACTCCCAGTCCAGCTCATAACTCATCTGGGGGATGGCCAAGAAATGCTGCAGCTTTCGTGCTAAGTTCTTTTTCTGGATGACCAGCTCCATCTCATTCTGCTGGGACTGCAGGTTTTCCTCCACTCTCTGCTGCTCCTGTTCATTAGAAGATGGTGTTCTTAAGAGAGGTTTGAGAACAGGTATGAATACACTCTCAAACAGTACAAGCACACAAGGTGGATCCCAAGAGCTTGATGGTCTCCAGTCTCACCAAAACACAAAGCTTCTGGGAAGGAAGAAAAGAGACTGGTCTCTTCAAGCCATCATTCACACGCACGGTACACCCCTCTCTTACCCCCACACTCTCTTCCAAAACACACTCCAACACACACACACAGAGTGAGACAGAGACCGAGAGAGACATAGACAGAGGAATATAAATTTGAGGATATAGCATATTAGATGATCATGTAAATTGGGACTAAGTACAGCAGCTCTTTCAGAAGAATTCAATGACTCTGCTCTCCATCCCTCAGAACTAATATTGCATAGGGGAATATGGTCTACTTGGCCAGACTATGCTGAGCTGGTTGAGTGACTTTTTGTCTAGAAGCCTCAGATCTCCCACATAAACTTTCAGCCTGTCACAAGCCACTTCCACATGCCTGGTCAACCCATCAGGACCATGTTGAAAGCTCCATGATGGGAGAACTTGCCAAGGAAACACTTCTGGCAAATTCTCACTGAGGTTTCTGTCAGTGTGAAGCAGGAGTTGAGAATGGTGAAAAAAACTGACTTTGGATGCAAAGAATAGGAGGAAGAAAGGCCACTTGCCATCCAACACGGTGACAAAGAGAATTTATAGTAGGCTTTCCTTGCAAGCTGCTCTCCCTGACCCCACTGGGATCTCACATGAACCCTGTAAAGAAAATGAGCCATGGGACATGGAACTCCCTCCCTCATGTCAGTACATAACACTCCTTCATCACAATGACATGTAGAAATGTGATATGTATGTCATTGACCCATCTCCCTGCTTGGGCTGCAGCTTCAAGAAGAGCAGCAGGGTTTGTTTGCCAATTGATTCTTACAAGAGATTCACTTCCCAGAAACACTGATGCATGGACACAGAAATGAGCAGTTGGATGTCATGAGAGTGAGGGGGATGAACGTGTGTGGGAGGGCAGGTAAGGTGATAAGTGAAAGCTCATTTGGGTGGATGGGTAGACAGCAATGTTACGTGAGGAAATGATGCTGGACCTAACCCTGACCATGGTTGTCCCTACCTGCTGCTCCTGGGTCTGGAGATCTCTGATGACTTGTTCTTGGTCCTCACAGATCACTCTTCCAAGTAGTACTGCAGCAGAATCCATTCCCCTAGCGCTCTCTTGGTCTCCTGCCTCAGCTTGTCCAGTACATACTGCACCTGAGTCTTCTCTAACTGGAGTCGGTACTGCAGATTGCTGGAAACACGCTGTATAGTAAGCCCTTCCAGGCTCCTCCTGCCACGCCTGCCTCCATAACCCACCAATCCCACTGGTCTTCAGGTTCCCAGAAGAGACACAGAAAGGAGGCCAATGCAGCATGCCACCTGCTCTCAGATGGCCAAAAGTAGGGAAAGAGAATTCCAGAAAGAATCAAACTATTTCTGAATATGCCAACAGAAATTCAAGTATCTCTACCAGTGTGTGTGGGGCCCTCAGTGTCCATAAGTGAACATGATAATGGAGCCACATCAGGAGGTAGGGGAGAAATCCTATTGGAGGGAGGATAGAAGAGCCAGGGGAATAGAAGTTCTATGGGGAGCAGGCACTTACCAATAGAAGAGTGGCTTCATGTCGAGCTCATTGAATTTCTCTAAGGCTTTGGTGCTCTCATTCTCTAACCTGTGCAGGTTTGCCATGACCTAGTTACACCTAATCTTGATCACTTCTGCTGATGGATCTGAATGATGGTAGGGCATGGAGCTAGAAGCAAAAAGCTCCGTGAACAAAGTTTTCATGAATCGCATGAATTCAGCCTGTGTTCAAGACTACTAGAGCCCATGGAATGCCACACCCCATGTACTTGGAAATTCTTTTGCTAATTAAACTTGCTATCCTGACCCTAGGCCAGCAGAGGCAGGATGTTCATGTGAAGAGAGGTGAGACTGCTGACATAGCTGGACGAGAAGTTCCCTATTGTCTTCCTCATGGGGTGTACCCACCAAAAACTGCGATGTTTCTCCTGTCTTCAAAATATAGATTCTCAATCCTGGTGCCTGTCACAGTGGAGCCCAAAATCACACCACGAAGACTTTTGTGGATGGAACTCTCAACATTTTGGAGAATGGAACTCATAACAGATTTATAAACTCCTCAGGGCATATCTACAAGGCAACAAGGTGCACACATTGGCAGAACTTTAATGCTCAAAGTGGGGATCCCAATGCTCATCACAGGAATCACCTGGAACTGTGAGACAGGAAGCACCTCGTTCCCTGATTGCAGGGTCTAGGGGGAAACACATGCGCAAATGCACAAACACATGACAAATACACAACACACCTGTGTGTGACAGAGAGAAACAGAGAAAGGATGGACCCCAGGGATATTAAATAAATGCATGCAGGTGTGTCATCTCAGGACCACAATGTGCAGGGATCAGTTCCAGGCCTTGTATCTGCACACTGAAATGTGTGACCAGGCCTCTCTAATTGGCTACTTAAGAACCCAGCATACAGTGTCGTGCCAGGCAAACAATCACCATAAACTCACAGCAGCCTACGTCTCACAGAAGCTGCCACTTGACAGGATCTCTCCAAATGCATCCTGGGAAGTCACACCTCTGTGTCAATCCCTGAGTTATGTGACTCAGGCTACAGGCTCTGGTTTTCATTTGGAGGAAACAGAGTAATAGTCTCTCCCCATCTCACTCTGGCCAGGTTTCAGGTTCTGCTTCTGGGAAGCAATTAGAGATAACAGTGTTGGGCAAAGAAACACCCTGAAGGTGTAGACACCTAGAAGCTCAGATCTTAGATCAAAGAAACTAAGGGTGAAATTGTCGAAGCAAGTTGGTCACCATGGCATTGGAAACAATGAATACCTATTGTCAGAGGTGATCCTTCAGTGACAGAGATG